GGTTTCGCGTCCTCCCCGCTCCTCCTCTTAACCTGGTGGGGTCGGGGGCTGGGTCTGTTGGGTCGGGTTCTGTCTTCAATGGAGATCCGAGATTGAGCGCATTTCATTACACAGGTTTCACGACTACTATGGATGCGATAAGTCGCGCAATCGCGTGGAGTCTGTCAACGAGCACCACGCCATGTATATCGCCATGAACAGCTCGTTGTTAACGTGATCGATGGCACTACCACCAGGAACGGAGGTTCTGAGGGCGGCTAACATTACGAACCTGCACACTACTCTTTGCTCCTCGATCCGGTCTGAAATCGGAGAGACGTGCTCTGCATTCAACGGTCTGTAGGAATGCGTTTCTAACTGCCTGTCGATGAAGCGTTTTCAGGAAGAATGCCGACCACTTTGTTCTATCGAATGGCAAAAACTGTGTCCACGGAAATTTATCAACGCACCTATTTTACTTTCGTGAATGGGTAGTCAGTTCCAGGGTAGATCAACTTGAGCACGATAAGCTCAGAATCAGACAATTTCCGTACTGCTGTCAACGGAGAAGAATGTTCGTGATATTGCCAACAATCTCCGTTTGTCAGAGGGGTGAAACTCAATCTGGAATGGTAGTACGATTGGCTCGATAGACAGATCCCCACAAAGGCAAGTTTCGTTTACCAGGTGCCTGATAGAACGACTGTCCACCGACTAGCAGAGTTGATGGGGCAAACAATCACTGACCTACTAACCATCTGAATCAAGAAGAACGGCAATCCCCCTCGATAGCCCTGCTTGGCCCTTTCTTGCGAGGAGGGGGCAGCGGAGCGTGCCATGTTGGGTTTGGGTGCTGACCGGAACTCTCAGATCTGAGTATAGAGGTAGAAAAAATACTTCTACTGTTTAGCGGCAAATGAGGGCAGGAGTACCTCACCAAGTGGCCCGAGTTAGTGCGCATGATTAACCTGAATTCGCATAGAACTGCCGCGAGTTTGCCGAACGCGTTCGATACATTCGCGCCGGAAAACATGTGCGGCTGCTTTCCACACTTATTCACATGGGGCCAATGTTTTCGCTCTCCTCGCGAACTTATTAGTCGGATGGCGCTCCGCGTAATTACTACTACTCGCATGAATTACGTTTAGCGATAATGTTCGACTACGGGGCGCGTTAGGCAGCGTCTACGCTACACGAAAAACACTTCTGAATGCTGCTCGCCCACCTCCGATTGCATTGCACCATGAAATCGTGCAAGGGGAGTGGCCGGATGGACCTTTGGCGGGCTTGTTCCCGTTGCTTCCCGCAAGATAGACGATCTACAGCCGGTGGTATGTGCCAGACTCATGCTGAAAGAAGCATCGGCCCCGGTCGCACATCCTTGGTTCAATACTGGGCTTAACCCTGTGTCCCTCCTCAGCAGGACGCCTGACGACTGTGAAAGATCATGGGGGCCACACTGATAAGTGGCGTTTGCTGAGGTGCTCAACTCTCGACTCATTCCGGCAGCCCGTCATTCTCGGAGTGGGAACTGAACGGGAAAACCTATGGAACTGGCAGAGCGTACTTGAGGTTGCACAGCACGTGGACCTAAAACCCCGATTCAAGTCAAAATCCATTCGCGTATATATGTCAAAAGTCCGGGGGGGGCGGGGGCGGAGGTCTTCATCGATTCAATTAACTATTCAGACTGGAGCATTTTGATTTCAGAATTCACTTTAGGATGCCCGAGCAAGGCATTGTCTGCACTAGACCAGCCTATCGACTCGACCCGAAATCGCCACAAGAACCGCACGAACACTACAACCAGCACCCCCCACAACAAAACCCAAAACCTCAACCTATGTGGCTTGGAAAGCGCCACAGAGTTCGGAGGTCCCGTAGGGGGGGGGGGTTAACAACCCTGCAAAATCAAAGACACCATATTGGTCCACGCTTGCGAAAAGGATTCATCGCAATCTTGCAGCCCTTCCCGTTCGACACCTAGACTCAACTGTCCACGCCGGTGCCGATCCTTCCGCGTGGGGCCTTCGAGGGCACCGGGTTCGGCATTCTCTTGAGAGTGTTAGAGATAGGCCCTCGCGTCCGTGGGTAGTGTTCTACGCGTAACGGGAAGGAGTGGCGCAAACGGGTTTAGGGACTCCAAGCCCACCGGTGAATCCACCTCTAACGCGCGAGCTCCTGGGTGAGGTCGTACCCGATGTTGAGGCCCAGCGTGGGACAGGGAGCTTCGGCGGGAACCAGCGACTTCAGGACGCGTGTTTCCGTAACCGGCGTGCCTATGTCGCGAAGCGGAGTCCTAGATCCGAGAAGAAAAGAGGGGGCGAGACCTCGCGACCGTTCTGATCAAGGGGAGGAGATCTAGGTGGGGAGGGAGGTGTGGGGGAGCTCGGCACACCTAACCAACCGGGTGGAGTCTCCGTCCTAAGTCTTATGGGTCCCACAGGGCCTGCTGTCAATCAAATCTTACTCTCTGACGCCGCTCTGAACGAAGTCAGGAGTGCTTTGTTGTGCGGGGGGGGTGTGGGTGTGAATAGCGTCCAGTACTGGTGAACTCAGTACAGGGGCGAGCTAGTACCAACCGGAGACGTACCCCGATGAAGCGCGAACAATTTGGGGAGGAAATATGATGCAGAGAAAAGTAGGTACATAACTACAAATCGCGGAAGGGTATGGGAAGGAATACAAGCGAACACTTGTGACATGGCGGCCAAACATGGTCACACGTAAGGTGCGCGAACGTCGCGCGGGGGTCGAGGATACTTACGCGGACCTAAATGCGAGAACCGCACGGGCGATTTGTGGGCGACGGGTTCTGGCGTACACGACATTTCTTGGAACACGTGAATACGGTCCACAGCAGCCTCCGGGTGTGCCTGAACGCGTGGGTAAGACGGAAGATTGACTCCTCCTTTTTCCCTGGGGCGAACTTGAAAAGACGCAAGAAGTGTCCAGTAAGATGAGTAGTGTGTCAGAGAAACACTATATCGTGTCTAACCCAACTGACGATCGCAAACTCCACAGGGCGAACAGAATAGCACGCAACAAAAAGAAAAGAATTGACCGGAGTCCGCGGAAGTGAAGACGAGTGCAAAGGGAGAACGATTCTTTAGCCATTTCAGAAGCCGTGAAGGACGAGGCTTACGCCAATTAAGGTGTGCTCTGTGCGCATCATCGCCGACTGTAATAACTTTACATGGCAGAGTGTCCGGGGGAAATCAATGAAATCCTCCAACTTTGCGCCGGCGGGGCCCTCGCAAGACCGTTTGTAGGGACACTTCCCAGAGAAGGCTTTCCCCCTGGGATTGCTGGGGGAGGTGGGAGGCACGGTTTGTCTATCTGTATGGTGCGCGGACTGTACTGGGCTCACTGGCGACGCGTTTTCTCCCTCCCGGGGTGCGAGAGGCGAGAGGAGGTTGACCTTGGTAGCGACATGAGGAGCGGAGAGGGATCAGTTCGAGGAGGGCGGGAAAAACGACACAAGAGACGTCGTGGAAATAAAGGTCATTATGTGTCAAATCATCAAATACAATCAATAACAACAATTTTATCACCAAAAACCGAACAATCAAGACAGCATCACAAGACATGGGGGGCGGCCCGGGGCGAGGAGGCTGTGCCAATGTACTGCCGATCGATGGCAAGTGGTACGGCCCGTAGTGAGTGCACTGACTGCCCGCAGCGGCCCTAGGGAGATAACCGAAACGGCAAGTGGGGCCATCTGGTGCCGGTGGGCGACGTCACGCTATGGCAGAGGCCATCCTGGACACCCTGGACAACCCGATTCCGTCCGACCATCTACATCTCAGGCATCGGTATTCTCCGCTGATGCTTCATAGATCGCTTACAATGGAAATACTACCGGCAGCCCGACCTGAACACATCAGGGAAACCGCCGGCAAAACGCACCACATTCATGTTCATAATCAGCGGTCTGGAAAGAGGCGGAGCCGAGTACCAACTGGTCGCGACTGCCGCCCTGATGTCCGCAAGGGGTTGGGGACAGGACGGTCGCTTTCCGTACCTGCCCTTCACCAACAGCCTCGTTGGGTTCGAGTTGCATGGCACTTGAGGTCAGAAAGACTGCCTCACGCGTTGAAATGCTTCAATCGGGGAGGCAAAGGGTCTTCAGCTAGTACGGCGTTATTCTTGGTCCGTCAAAACCGCCTCAAAACCCCACATTTTTGGTCGTCTTCTGTTTCCTGCAATCATGCGCTGCAACAGGCTTGCAGGGCGGCTCACGGTGTGCCCGCAGTCGTGTCTAATCCGTGCGCAACGAGCGTGACAGCCCTCTTCTCCGTGAACGTAGATTTGCGCGCACCGACGGCCTACCGACGCCGTCACGGGTCTTAAAATATATCGAGACACCTCTCCGACGTGCTTGTCGACAGGCGAGTTGCCGCCAGTTCCCACGTGTATGTCATTCCCAACTCCGTGGACGTCGCCCGTTCGCCATGCGCCTATACACGGTACCGTACTACGTGAACGGTTCAGTGTGGGCCGCGCAACAGTTCCATAGTGGCTTGCCTCGGTCCGTCGGGCTCGACCAACACGGCCAAGACGTACCGGACAATCTGCTAAATGCCTTCGCAGCGTTGGCCCAACGCCATCACAACACCCGGCTGATGATCGCAGGAGACGCCCTCCTCTGAATAGCGACCCTCCTCAATGTTCAGCGCATGGCATGACAGTCGAAGTTCATCTTCTATCTTCTCGGCTTGCGTCCGGATTTCCCGCTCTCTACGACTCGGGGGGGGGGGGGGGGGAAACGCCGGACCAGCGACGCGCTTGTCCTATCATCCGCCTGGGAGCTGATCCGAACGTCGTGCTTGAGGCAATGGCTTCAAGAACCCCGGTGGTGCAACGTCCGTGGGCGCTGTGCCCGAAGTGATCACCGACGGCGAGTCGGGCTCTGGTCGTCCCTCCACACGACCACCAAGCCCTTGCCAACGCTATGGACGAATGATGTGAGTAGGAGCTGGCCATCCCCAGACCCCGGTCAGCTACGGTAATGGCAGGATAGTCGCGTGCTTACCGAGTTTCTCCCCGCGAAAGCGTATAGACATGGGAGACATCTATTCGACCGACATTTGAGCGACTAGGCTTATCGAGTCAGGCAAGTACGTGACCCAAACACCTGAACCCAACCACCATCCTCGCTGTTAGTCTCGAATTCCGACGAGTCCCTCTATCGCTTCCACAACCCGATAATGAATAAATCATTGAAGATGGCTGAAAGTGTAATGCCGTTGCCACCGCCTGGTCCATTCGTGGCAGACATCGAAAGATTGGGTGTTGACCACGTGCCATGGATTCTGAGCAGGAGATCGCTCAACCCACTGACTGAGTTAAAGTCGCTCGTGAGACTGGTGCGCTTTTAAACCATCGTCCTGCGACCAGGGCTGTCCAGCACTTTACAAGTGAACCCATGTGTATGGCGCTCTGGCTGCCAGACTCACCGGGATTCCAGTAGTGTTCAGTGGAGTGCAGGGCTTGGGATCGCCTTCGGAGAAGGAGGGGGTAAGCGCGGGTTGCTGCGTCTGACGTTGTCAGTGCTTTACAAATTGACAGCCCTACTCAGCGACAGGTTCGTGCTGCTGAATTCGCACGATCTGGACAGGCTCTTCAGTGAAACAAGCATGTTCAGGCACAAGGGCGATGGGTTGTGTCCGCGCGTTGGTTGGACATGCAGAGTTTCAGTGAGATGCGGTTGTCATTCCGGGACCCGCAAATGAGTTCAGAGGAGCCCTGAGGGTATGAATCCGATCCCATGTCGTCCACATGAGTCACGCCTCTTGTATGACAGGGTGTATCTGAGTACGTGGATGCGCTCGAATGTTCCAGAAAGAAAGAATGCGGGCACCATCTTTGTTTCTGGCCGGTGCACACTGACCCCTAATAAACTTGGGCATCTTGACTGTGCGACATAACTAAAGTGGTCGGAAGCTTGGTGATTTGCGGATCGTCGGAACACAGAACACGAAGCCGACATTCCTACACTCCTGGCGACTTCGGACGTAGTAGTACTCCCATCGTATTCAGAAGGAATCCCCCGCGTCCTCATAGAAGCCGCGCGAGAGTATACCTATCGTGTCAACCAATGACGATCAAGCCCGGGTCGACCGAGATTGTTTGAGGACGGCGTCAACGGCTCCCTTGTCCCTCCGAGAGATGCGGACGCGCTAGCCTCTGCGATTGAGGCTCCGTTGAACAATTCCCTCCCCAGCGGCGCTCCGATGTAATGGGCAGCGGGCCGGCGCAAGGCGGAGCGGGAGTACGATGACCGCCAGGTCCGCCAGGCCGCACGTTTAAAAAAAAAAACAAAGAGGAATACAGGAAAGCGTGGATGAAGGCTAGAGGTTAGCGCGCGCCGTTGTCGGCCCGACGCTTGCTGAACGTTTGGTGAAGCGTTGGGAGCCTAGGGGTGTTCGCCGGAACTACGAATGTCCGTCTCCCAGTTCGTCGAAACTCCACCGCCCCCCCCCCAAAAAATTTGTTCTTGTACCGTGCGGAAATAGTGTCCTCGAGCACTTTTCGGACGACTCTGAATCGCTCGCCGGGAAACTTCTTATCGTCCGAAGAGATCATCGAGACCATCCGGCGCAGCAGCCAGATCTGCTTGAGCGTGGCCTCGTCCAGTAGCAGCTCCTCGCGCCGCGTGCCGCTTCGCGCGATGTCGATTGCAGGTAGATCCTACCGCTCGGAGGCCAGGCTCCTATCGAATGTGTCCTCCGGTTGCCGGTGCCAACTTTACTCTTCGTAGATCACTTCGTCCATGCGGCTGCCCGTGTCTACCAGGCACCGCGCCATGAAGGTCAGAGAGCCTGGCCTATCCCCAACTCCTCGGTGTTCGTGCGGGGCCCCTGAAGAACTTCTTCGGAGGGTACAGGGCGATCGGGTCCCATACCGGGGGGGGGGGGGTGGGGGGGGGGGTGACTGTGGGGGGGGGGTGGGGGGGGGGGTGGGCCGGGGGGACATCGTGGTGGTCTGGGCGGGCGTTTGGTGGTGTGGTGGGCTGGAGGTACTGGGTGGGTGGGTTGGGTTTTTGGGAGTGTGGGGGGGGGGAGGTTTGCAGGTTTTAGAGCTCTCGGGTGGGGTGGGAGGGGGGGGGGCTCGTGGGTATTCTTTCCACAGGAGATCAGCAACGGTCCGTCCCCCCCGCTTCAACAAGCCGCTTCGCGCGTTCGAGCACCATCTCCGCGACCCGGCAGTGGTCTTCCAACCGGCTCATCGAAGGTAGAGCTATAAACCTCCCCGTCGATCGGACGCTGCGCATGTCGTCACTCTTCGGTCCGCTCACCGATCATTGCCCATTGCCACCATAATGTTGGGGGAACATTCCAATACCTGGTTGCGGTGATGCCGCCGGCCATGTCCTTGAGAATCGAGGTCTTGCCCGCCTTGGGAGGTGACACGATCAGGCCGCGCTGTCCGCGTCCAATAGGTGAGAGAAGATCGATGAGGCGTGTGGAAAGGTTGCGGTTAGTAGTCTCGAGCTTCAATTGCTCGATTGGGAAAATCGGTGTCAGTGCCTCGAACTTCGGACGGTTCCGGGCCGCGTCCGGCTTGACTCCGTTTACCTGCTCCACGCGGACCAGGCCGAAGTAGCGTCGCCATCCTTCGGGGGACGTACCCGGCCAACCATTTGATCGCCGGTCCTGAGTCCGAAACGCCTGATCTCTGCGATTCTTGTCTACACATACATACTGTCTCTCTCGGCTGTAATTGCCTGCGGTCCTTCCTCAAGATCCTTAACCGTCGTTAACGATTCGATAGGATACCCGAAGCGTGATCGGCCCATCTTCGCAAAAAAAAGAAAAGAGGACGGCCTTGGCGACGCGCGCCACGAGGTCGTGACGCTTGTGCGAACCGTTTTCGCTCGCCCCGAACTCCGTCGCAATGCCGTACGAGCTCGTCGTTGGATTTGGTCATAATCTCCGAGAGATTCATGGTGTTTCTCCGAGGGATGGCATATTCAGACTATATGCGATGTGGATTCAGTCGCGGTGTCTGTAATGGTAACGATCGCAGCGTGCGAAACGGAGCGGATGGTACGTTTGCGGCTCCGACAGTAATATCAAGGGTCTTTGCCGGATGGCGTGGGAGGAAATCGAAGAACGAATGACTTCCGATCATACCACATGCAAATGGGTTATTCCAACTTCGATCCTTCATCTGATCCAGAATGGCGTCGGCAGTCGGCGCTGTCCGCCCTCGCGGACCACGTTGCTCGCGACTCCGACAAACTCCCTGAACAGAGGATGAGGCCTGTCTGGACGTGACAGGAACTCGGGGTGGAACTGCGTACCGACCATGAACGAGGCGGGTGCGTACTCCATGATCTCTATGAGCTCACCGTCTGGGGAAATCCCTGTCGGCCACAGTCCGACCTCCTCGAAGCCCTCACGATAGTTGTTGTTGACCTCCCACCTGTGCCGGTGGCGCTCCTCGACCCTCTGCGTTCTGTACGCGCGCTCTCACCAGCTGTCGGGCACCGCTACGCACGGGTTAAGCCCAAGCCTCATCGTGCCGCCCATATCGGTGACGTCCTTCTGGCTCTGCATCAGGTCGATGACCGATGGTGGTATCTGGGTCCATCTCGGTGGAGTTGGCGCCGTGCAGTTCTAGAAGGCTGCGTGCTATCTCAACCACCATTACCTTACCTGCAGTCCGAGGCAAAGGCCGAGGTATGGCACGTTGCGGTTGCGCGCGTAATTGACCGTTTCAATCATGCCTTCGACGCCGCGCGGACCGAACCCGCCGGGCTACCACGATGCCTGCCGCCGACTCCAGTAGGCGAGTCGGGCCCTCTGCCTCGATCTGCTCGGAGTTGATCCAATGCACGTCAATGTCTCTGTCGAAGTGTAACCCTGCGTGAAGCAGCGCCTCCTTCACTGATAGTAATGAGTCTCGCAGTGGCAAAGAAGAAGTGGGGGGAGAGGTAAGAAGGTGGGGGTACGGGGGTGACGAGGGAGGGGTGGGTGTGGGAGGGTGATTGGGTAGGTGAGAAGGAGGGCGAGGTGACAAAAGTCGACGTACTTGCCGACGATCGCTATCGGGAGGGTCTCCTTGGGCGCCTGGATCGCCCTCACCATGGCCCGCCAGCTGTTCAGGTTGTCTGAGTACACACCACTGGGACTAGGGCATCGTAAATGCGGCTTCCTGTTATCTAAAGGGGGAGTTTGGGCTCGCTCATAGCCAGGTCTCATACTCTTTACGAAATTCTCCTAGTCCCTCGTCCTGGAGGATCAAGGGCACCTCATAGATGCTCGAAACTGTCGGCAGGGTGAGCACGGCCTCGTTTGGGACGTCGCAGTGGATGGAAATCTTCCTCTTGATGTCTTCGTCAACGTCGTAATCGGAACGGCACAGGATGGCATCAGGCTGGATACCTATGCTCCGAAGCTCGCGAACCGAGTGCTGCGTGGGCTGGTCTTTAGCTCGTGCCGGTGGACGTAAGTAGGGCAGGTAGCGAGGTAGGTCACGTGAATGTGTACATACACGGTTGTCGCGTACCGACGCCCTCGTTGCGCATCTGTCGGATCGCTTCGAGGAACGGCAGACCCTCTATGTCGCCGACCGTACCGCCGACTTCGACCACGATCACGTCGGCGCCGGAATCCTCGGCCAGATCCAGGATGTGCTGTTTGATCGCGTCGGTCACATGGGGTATCGCCTGGATAGTCCCCCCAAGGAACTCGCCGCGCCTCTCGCGTGCGATGACGTCGCTGTAGATCTGACCGGCAGTGATGTTGGACAGCCTGGTCAGGTTTACATCGACGAATCGCTCGTAGTGGCCGAGGTCCAGATCTGTCTCGCACCCATCTTCGGTTACAAACACCTCTCCGTGCTGGTACGGGGACATCGTGCCGGGATCCACGTTGAGGTATGGATCGAGCTTCATCAGCGAAACAGACACGCCGCGGCTCTTCAGTATCCGACCGAGCGAGGCTACCGTGACGCCCTTGCCCACTGAGCTGACGACTCCACCTGTACGAGACTGATCCTTGGCATGATGCGGTCTCGTCTGCCGAATGCGCCAGCCGGCCGCGTGTATGCTTCAATGAGCGAACCGCCGCTCGTTAAGGTCGGACGGTGGCGTGTGCGGGGCAGCGAGGTAAATAGGAAGGGATCTGAGTGGGACAGTGCGAGAAGGGGAGGCTTGCTGGTGAGGGCCCTGACAGGCACTCACTGACTTTCGGCTCCATCGCTGACGGTGGCGTAGGTGTGCGTCACGGCGTCCAGTCCCTCGACGTTTGCTTGAGTATAGGAACCCATATCCTAGAGTGTCAACGACTATGTGAGGCCAGTTTTCGCTGACAATCAGCTTGTGCACTGGCTAGCCTGTTCCGACCAGGCTCGCTGCCATGTATGATTGCTGAGTCACGGCATACGATGAGTGCCCTCTCGGCGGGAGAGGGCTTGCGCGAGGGTGAACACAGAGGCTATGCGTTACTACTCACTGATTTCGAATGATGGCGATTCTAGGCTGATCGTCGAAAATCGCCAATCGATCGCCTTGGATCTTACGAGCTTGGACCCCGATCTGACCGACCTTAGCGACCTGCTTCTCGCGGCCTCGCTGTCGGGTATGTCGGTTGACGAGATAACAGACCTGATTCTGGAGACCGGCGACGCCGACAGGTTCGATCTGGGCGAGACGATGGACCGCTCAAGGGACGGTGACGGGTACTACCGCCTCGATAGGCCGTTCGAGCCGCCTGAGGTCTGGGCCGCGGGCGTCACCTACAAGACCAGCGAGATGGAGCGGCAGCGTGAGAGCGAGACCCCCGACGTCTACGCCAGCGTGTTCACCGCCGACCGCCCGGAGGTCTTCCTCAAGGCGACCCCGGACCGCTGTGTCGGCCCCTTTGACGCGGTCGGAATCAGGGGAGACTCGGACTGGAGCGTACCAGAACCAGAGCTGGCGTTCGTCCTGCACAGGGGCGAGATCGTCGGATACACCATCGGAAACGACATGAGCAGCCGGTCCATAGAGGGTCAGAATCCTCTGTACCTTCCGCAGGCCAAGCTCTTCGACAGGTGCTGCTCAATCGGACCGTGCTTCGTGACCGCCGAGGACCTTGACCCAACCAACCTGGACATCTCTTGCTCAATCGTTCGGGAGGGACAGGAGGTGTGGTCCGATCAGACCTCCACCTCGCTGATGGCGAGAACGTGCGAGGAGCTTGCAGACTGGCTACAGCGGCACAATCTCGTGCCCGACCTGACCACCGTGCTCACCGGCACTGCGATTGTTCCCCCGCCCGAGTTCACCCTCCGAGAGGGCGACGTAGTGACCATCACCATAGAAGGCATCGGCTCACTCGAAAACGAGGTGATCGAGGTATAGTGGCTGGAGGTGTTGCGACTAGCTGTGGCTCAGCCCGCCGTCGATGTACAGCGTCTCGCCGGTCATGTACGACGAAGCGTCCGACGCCAGGTACAGCGCCAGGAATCCCACCTCCTGGAGCTCACCGACACGTCCCAACGGTACAGTCTCACGGGCGTTCTCCCGTGACCTCGCTATCTGTTGAGGATCGCCGGTTTCCGGGTCTGGAAATATACCCGGCGCGATGCAGTTGACCGTAATCCCGTAAGGTGCCCACTCTAGGGCGAGAGTCTGCGTCAGTCGAGCGAGGCCGGCCTTGGCGGTCGAGTACACCAGCGACTCCGGCGAACCCTTCCGCGCCGCGAATCCGCTGATGTTGATGACCCGACCTCTGCCCCGCTCGATCATGTGAGGTCCCACCGCGCGACAGCCCTTGAACGCTTCCGTCAGATTGATGTCGAGCACGAAGCGGTACTCGTCGTCGCTGATTGGCGTGCCGTTGAGCCCGGCGGTGGCACTAAGGGCTTGCGGATCGAGTCTCCAAGATTGTTGATCAGGACATCGATGTGGCCCCACTCGGAAAGCGCGGCGTCAACCGTTCGCTGCCAGTCGTCCGTGTCTGTTGCGTCCGCCGTCATCGCAAGGATCGGATAGCCGGCCACCCGCATTCCTTCAGCCAAAGGCTTCAGGTATGTATCGGTGAGTGCAGTCACCATCACCCTCGCCCCGGAGTGTGCCATCACCCTGGCGATGCCCTTGCCAATGCCCCGCGCTGCGCCCGTCACTATCACGGTCTTGCCTCTTACATCGAACTCCTGTGGCAGCATCGCTGGTCCTCCCGGGTGACTTCAAACCATCAGACTTTAGACTGTCTCGTTCTTGCTCATTCATCCCAGGAAAGCAAGCTGAGAGCCTGCTGGACGAAGTCCATGCCGACCATGTCTTTCCACGCCGACAATAGTCTTTCGGTGACCTGGCCGGGCGTCGATCGCCCTACTCGGAATCCGTTTCAGGGTAGCCACGGGAAGCATACAGTAGCGGGTGCTGGACACGAACGCCTCGTCTGCTCCATAGATCAGTGACGGACTGTACAGACCCTCGTCCACACCTATCCCGAGCGTTCCCGCCAGCTCCAGGACGGTGTGCATACTTACTCCTGGAAGCACGTTTCTGCGGTCCGGTAGCTTAATCCTACCGTCCACCACGAACATAAAGTTCGCCCCCTGGCACTCGGTGATGAAACCGTTGTCGTTGACCATAAGCGCGAGAGTCTGGGTGCTTCCACGTTTGCCGTCTCCTCCTTCCGCTTCAGGGGGTCGAGGATAGGTGACTGGTGTGTAGAGCCTTACACCGTCGACATAGCTCCGTGCAAAGCTGTTGAACTCCAGGGGGGTGCAGTAGACCGCTATGTCAACGCTTGGAAGGTCGTCTGCTGATATGGGACTCGCCATTGTGATCGTTTGCGTGACCACCATGTCGCCCCTACCGCCTTCCAGCAACGTGAGGTTCGCCTCTACGATTCCTCGCGACGCCGTCTCCAGATCGTCTATCGTGATCCCGGGATCGATGTTCGAGTACGGCCAGTCCGCTGAACAACCGCTCGAGATGCCTGCGTAGCCGGAATGGCTGTCCTCCGAAAGTTCGGGCTGAGTCATAGTAGCCCCCCGCCGATCTCATGTTGATCCGCTGAAGCTCCGGGAGTGCTTGGGAGTACGGCATGACTCTCCCATTCACGTAGGTCAAGAACTCCTGGCTGTATGTCATGTCAGCGTCGTCCCAGTAGCCGTTTCTTGATCTTGGTGAACGTGGTTGCCGCGTGGATCAGGGGTGTCATCTTCCTGCCGTGAATCGTTCCCTGTGCCAACGCCTCTTTGAAACCCGCCGGCGTCCCGTCGAATTCGGGCATCGTCACGTAAGTTCTGCCCAGCTCGATAGGAGTGTGGGAGTCGCTTACACCCGATGTCAGAAGTCCATGCTCCCTCGCGAACTCGTGGGCCTTTCGGTTGTCTGCGTCCATGTTGTTGCGCGAGTTGAACACCTCTACGATGTCTGCATACGGCAGAACGTCCTCGATTCCCCTGCAGGTTATCACCTCGCTTCTGAACCTGTCGAAAGGGTGGGGGAGACTCACTAGTCCGCCCTGCTCCCTGATCCTCTGAGCAGTCTCGACCGGAGTCAGCCCTCGGGGAATCGTCTCCTGTAAGAAAAGCCCTGTAACCTCACCCTCTTCTGTGCCCACTTCCTCGCCGATGATGACCATGAACGGTGCAATTTCACGAACTACGAACGCGCCCTCGGTCGTGTTGTGGTCCGTGACCGCGATGCAGTTCAATCCGACCTGCAGGCACCGCGCGACCAGACGTTCCGGGCTCATCTCCGAGTCTGGCGAGTAGTGAGTGTGCATGTGGAAGTCGGCCTTGAGCACTAGCTCCCGACTTCCATATCGTCGTCACTATCGACCATACGCATCTGCTCCCCGTATGCGGTCCGGATTCGCGTGATCCTCATTTCAGCCGATGTCAGCATCTCGTTGCAAACACGCGCCAGCTTCATCCCCCGCTCGTACATCGCCATCGACTGCGCCAGCGTCAACGAGCCCGACTCCAGCGCGTCTACCGTCTCATCCAACAGTGCCAGAGCCTCCTCGAAAGAGAGGTCTTCAATTGCTTTAGTTTCCTGCTCGGACTCGACCGACGACATGCAGCCCTCCGTAGTCACTACTCGCCCAGCCTGAAAGGCGGATACTGGTCCGTGGTCAGCAGGAACGCATAGGCTGCAACTCGAAGCCCCCAGCGGAACAGTCCCACTATGTAGTTGAACATCCATATTGGGTATCGTCCGGTAATCAGGATGGCTATCCAGGCGATGAACACTACGAAAATCGAGACAATCCCCAGAATCGCCAGGACTATGTAGTGCGGTATTGCCAGAAGCCACTTGAACAGTGGCAAAATCCGATTCAGTTGTCCTTGTACGTCCGGATAAGCGATGTCCAGGGTGACAGCCTGATGCTCGTCAGCGGAGGGGTATTCGTCGCGTAGCAGGAATAGGTATGCTCCCACCCTGGCTGAGAAACGACTAATCTCCAGGTTCCAGTCGAACCACCAGCGCGGGTACTTTCCCCTGAACACGATCATCAACATTGTGGCCAGGTACAGTCCCATACTTATGATCAGCGCCTCGGTACGCCCCCAGTTCCAAGACGAGTCCATGTCGCCCAGACCGAGAGAATTCCCGATAAGTCCAAAAATGATCAAGATTGGTATCGCCAGGATGATCCGCACGAGTGCGGTGAGCCTGTTCCGGCCTTCTTCCGGGTACTCTACGCTGAATTGGACCGGGTACATGTCCGTCGAATAGACCATGTTCTCCTCCTGCGGGGGCTAGTGTTCTACAGGATTGGACGGAACCTCTTGCACCACCACCGCAATTGTACCCTCATTGAGTGTAATGTCCAGCGACCCGCCCGGCTGAGTGTCTCGTGCCTTGGACACCACAGTACCCGTTTCCCGGTCCACGACAATAGCGTACCCACGCCTCAGGGTATCCAACGGAGACAGCGTTCGCAGTGCTGTGCCAAGGAGATCGACCTGGCCCCGCGATAGCTCGACCCTGTGAGCCAGAAGCGTCCTGGCTGCGTCAAGTTGGTCGTCCACCCTGAGCCTGATCTGGTCAATGTCTGGAATGGACCGTCCGACTCTGGACCACAGCGCCTCCAGGTTACTCGTGGCGCCGTGCAGGTGCTGACGCCGATGTCTCCACGCGATGCACGGATGCCGATAACCTCTGAAGCAGTTCCATCCGGTCCGGGACGACCATCTCCGCTGCCGCAGACGGCGTCGGCGCCCTGACGTCAGCCACAAGGTCGCACACTGTGAAGTCGGTCTCGTGACCCACTGCGCTGACTACTGGGACGCGGCTCGAAAACACCGCCCTTGCGACCGCCTCTTCGTTGAACGGCCACAGGTCCTCAAGGGAGCCGCCGCCTCTGGCGACTATGATGGCGTCTATGTCCCCTTCGCCGTTCAGCGCCTCCAGACCCTCGACGATCGTCTCAGCCGCCGAGTCTCCCTGTACCATGGCCGGCGCCAGAGCCAGTTCGACAAGCGAAAATCGCCTACTTATGACAGTGCGAATGTCCTGCCACACTGCGCCAGTGGGAGATGTGACGACTCCAATACGCCTCGGAAATGCGGGAAGCGGACGCTTCCGTGATTCCTCGAACAGACCCTCGCGTTCCAACTGCGCCTTGAGCTGTTCCAGCCGCATCTGTAGTTCGCCCACACCCTCGGGCTGGATCACGTCCGCGACCAACTGAAGGTCGCCGCGCACCTCGTACAGGGTCACTCTGCCATGTGCTACCACGGCTGCTCCGTCCTGGAGATGGGCCGCCCCGCGCGAGTTTCGGAATAGAACGCAGCGCAGGGTGCTGTTGGAGTCCCGAAGTGTGAAGTAAGAGTGCCCCGAGCCTTGCCGCCGCAGGTTGGCGATCTCGCCCTCGATCCAGACGTCGCTGAGCAGACCGTCGTAGGCCAGCAGGTCCCTGAGATACGCGGTGACCTGCGACACGCCATAGATCAGCGCCATGTCAGGCCCTCGAAAGGTAGCTGCCTGATCTCGTGTCCACCTTGACAGTCTCACCCTCGTTGACAAAGAGCGGGACCTGTATGAGAAGACCTGTCTCGAGCGTCGCGGGCTTGGTGGCTCCGGTCGCGGTGTCGCCCTTGAGGCCGGGAGGAGAGTCGGCAACCACGAGATCAACCGTTAGCGGCATGTCGATCGCTATGGGGTTGTCTTGATAGAACACCAGGTCGACCGTATTCCCTCCTTGAGGTAGTTCAACTCGTTGGAGATGTCGCCTCTGGCCAACGGGAACTGGTCGTATGTGTCGGTGTCCATGAAGTAGCACAGCTCGTCTTCGTCATAGATGTACTGGGCCGACCGGCGCTCCACGTCCGCGGAGGTCAGTTTGACGTCGTATCCGGAGAAGCTTCTGTCGAGGACCCTTCCGCTGCGGATGTCCTTGAATCGTATCCTCATCGTCGGAGCGCGCTGCTGCATCTTGCTCCGGTCGTAGTCGACCACGAGGTATGGAACGCCGTCCAATTCGATGGCCATGCCTTTTCTGAGGTCTCCGTATCCGATTGTCATGTGATTGGCTCCTATTGACCTGTCCGCTGCCGGCGCATCTCACAAACCCCCTACTTAGGCGATCTTGTCAGAGGTCGTGCCCTGCCGTCTTCCATCACGACGACGTCCTCGATCCTGATGCCGCCCCAGCCCGAAATGTATATCCCAGGCTCGATTGTGAACACCATGTCGTTTTCGACGATGTCTTTCGAATTCGGGACCACCATCGGACGTTCATGGATGACTAGCCCGACGCCGTGCCCCAGCCCGTGGCCGAATTCGTCTCCATACCCGGCGTCTTTGATGACTTCGCGGGCAACCGAGTCGATCTCTTCGCCGGTCATGCCGGGAGAGGCCGCGTCTATCGCCGCCTTCTGCGCACGCAGAACGATACCATAGATGTGTCGGAACGTGTCGTCCGCCTCTCCCACCACGAACGTCCGCGTGAGATCGCTACGGTAGCCTTGGAAGTCTGCTCCCATGTCGATGACGATTGGCTCGCCGGCCCGGACCGCCGCGTCGCCCGCACGATGGTGAGGCAGTGCCGCGTTCGGGCCTACTGCAACTATCGTGTCGAAAGATGGTCCCGACGCGCCGCGCTCGCGCATCTGCTTGTGAAGCTCCCACGCGATGTCCTTCTCAGTCATTCCGACGCCTATTTGCACTCTCACTGCGGACAGTGCCTCGTCTGCGATCTGACTGCCCGCTTCAGAGTCGTCAGTTCTTTCTCGTCTTTGACCGCCCTGATCCACTCGAGCACGCCGAGCGTCTCTACGAGCTCCAGCTTCAGGTCGCCATCGGCTTCCTCAGTGGTGTGCTTAAGTTGGCTGAAGGCGGCGACGCTCATGTGGTCAGCCTCGAACCCGACCCTGCGCATTCCTAATTCCGAGGCTAGATTTGGGAACCATGTCTCGCCTCCTCTAATCTGGCGTACCTCGAATCCGGGCGACTCTGCCTCGCCCTGCTCGATGTACCTGAAGTCTGTCGCGAGTACCGCGTCGTTGGCCGTGATTGCGAGATAACCGTTGGAGCCGCTGAATCCGGAGAGATAGCGCCGATTGGCGGCCGATGAGACCAGGAATCCATCCACGTCCAACTCAGCCATGCGCTCCCTGAGCTTGGGGAGCCTGCGGGAAGAGTTATCCGTCACGACCTGCCGCCGAGGTGCTCTGCCAGAAAGTCGAGCGCATACTTGTACCCTCGCCAGCCCAACCCAGCGATCTGACCAACCGCCAGATCGGCGATCACCGAGTGACGTCTGAACTCGTCCCTGGCGTGGATGTTGGACAGGTGCACCTCGACTATTGGCAGTCGAGAGTCCGTCAGCGCGTCTCTGAGGGATAGCCCATAGTGCGTGAGCGCTCCCGCGTTGACCACGAGCCCGTCAGCCCCGTCCGCGGCCCCTTGGATGAAGTCAACGATCTTCCCTTCATGGTTCGACTGGAAGAACTCGACCTCCAGGCCCAACTCCTGCGCGAGCTTTTGTAATGCGTCTTCTATCTGTGGAAGGGTTGTGACCCCGTAGTGACTGGTGTCTCGACGTCCCAGGTTGTTCAGGTTGGGACCGTTTACTATCAGGACCTTCACGCACCGCCGCTCCCGGCCCCGGCTCTTGGGTGGGCCGCCATGTACGCTTGTCGCGCCTCGGTCTTAGTTATGTGCGTGTACACCTGTGTCGTCGCCGGGCTGGCGTGACCGAGCAGCTCCTGTACGACTCGCAAATCGGCCCCGCCTTCGAGCAGATGGGTCGCGAACGAGTGTCGCAGTGTGTGAGTGTGGACCTGCGTACCAAGCCCGCTGCGGGCCGCATAGCTCCGTACCGATTTCTGGATGCTGCGTTGACTCAGACGTTTCCCGTACCGGTTCACGAACAGCGCGCCGTCGGCGTCGATCGACGCAACTTCGGGTCTCACCTCTGACATGTAGGCGCTGAGCGCGTCTTTGGCGGACTCTCCGATCAGCGCGACACGCTCCTTGGACCCCTTGCCGATTACCCGGACCTCTCTGGTTGCCAGGTTGACGCTGTCCACGTTCAGGCCCGTTGACCTCGCTCACGCGAAGACCGGCAGCGTACACGAGCTCCAGCAGCGCCCGGTCCCTGATTCCCTTGTCGGAAGTCGGGTCCGGTGAGTCCATGAGGTTGGAAGCTTCGTCCTGAGATAAGAACCGGGGGATACGGGGTCGATCTTGAAGCTGCGCGTGGGGGCAGGGGATCATTCTCTCTCCGCGATGCCGACCGATTGAGCCACTTGAACATCGTCCGCATGGCGCTCAGTTTGCGCGCGATGCTCGTTCGCACGTAGCCAGCTCGTGAAGCCACGACAGGTATCCGCGCACCGTCCGCCTGTTCAGGTCGCTGAACGAGTCGATATCGTGATTGGACATAGTCTCGCAGCGGTTCGAGATCGGACAGGTAGTTTCTGATCGTCAGGGGAGCGAGACGCGCTCCGCGACAAGGTGGTCGCGAAAGTCGCTCATCGTTCCGTCCTCCAGTCCTGCGCCTCCATGCTAGGCCGCCTCAGTATTGGAATCTGGCACGGGACCACTGAATCCGCAGGTGTCGTCGAGACACTTTGCGTTCCGGCGGCTGCGTCCCTGAGACACCAGCAGCTTGCCGCATCCAGACAAGGCTGCGGCAGCGGGTTGACTGTGTGCTTGCACTCTGGGTAGTTGATGCAGCCGTAGAAGATTCTGCCGTTGCGCCCCTTCTGCTTACGCTCGATCATGTCGCTGCCGCACTTCTCACAGGCCACCCCGACTCGGAGAGGCTTTGCGTTCTTGCAGTCCGGGTAACCCGAGCATCCCAGGAACCGGCCGCTCTGTGAGTTCTTGACTGCCATACGCCTTTCGCACTTGCCGCAAAGCTCGTCCACGTCCTCGCTGACCAGCTCCCGCACTGCCCGCTCCTCAGGGCTCTCTACAGGGCGGGTGTTCTTGCACTCCGGGTAACCGGTGCAGGCCATGAACCTGCCGAACCGCCCGCTCTTTATCACCATAGGGTGTTCGCACTCTTCGCAGACCTCGTCCGTCGGCTCTTCGAGCTGTTCGCGGGGTACGCGCTCGGCTTCACTCATTGCCTTCTCTACCGCCTGCTCGAACGGGTCGTAGAACTGCCCTATTACAGGCGTCCACTGTTGTTCGCCCTCGGCGATATCGTCCAACTTCTCCTCCATTCCCGCCGTGAAGCCGACGTCCATGACGTCGGTGAAGTTCTTCACCAGCAGGCCGGTAACGACCTTGCCCAGGTTGGTGGGAACGAATCTCGAACCCTCTTTGGTCACGTAGTCACGCATCTCCAGCGTGGAGATAATGGAGGCATACGTGCTCGGTCTGCCTATGCCCTCCTCCTCTAGCACCTTTACAAGCGAAGCGTCCGAAAAGCGCGGCGGCGGCTTGGTGAAGTGCTGCTCTGGGTCAATGTCGAGGCAGTCCAGCAGCTCACCCTTTTCAAGCTTCGGTATGGGCGGATGGTCTGCGTCGTCGTCATCGACGTCATCCTTGCCCTCCATGTAGACGGCGCGGAATCCTGCGAACTTCAGTATGGACCCGCTTGCGCGCAGTTCGTATTCTCTTCTCGATAGAGTGCCGGTCACGCCGATGGATACCGAGGTGGAGTCGAACAGCGCATCGGACATCTGGCTTGCTACCATCCGCTTCCAGATGAGGTCGTATAGTCGTGCCTGATCATTGCTCAGGTATCTGCGCACCGATTCCGGCTCGCGCATGACCGATGTGGGTCTGATCGCCTCGTGCGCTTCCTGCGCTCCCTTGACCTTGCGTGTGTACGAGCGCGGCTTGGAGGGAGCGTACTCAGCGCCGTACTTGCGCCTTATGAGTGTGGCGGTCTCCTGGAGCGCCTGAGCGGCAACGTTTGTCGAGTCCGTCCTCATATACGTTATGAGTCCCACGTCCCCCTCGTCGCCGATCGACAGTCCTTCGTAGAGCTGCTGGGCGACCAACATGGTCCTGCGCGCGCTGAACCTAGTTTCCGTGCGGCTTCCTGCTGGAGCGTACTCGTGATGAACGGGGGCGCCGGGCGGCTCCTGGTCTCGCGTACGCGTACGTCGGTCACAGCGTAGTCAGAGCCCCGAATATCGAGGACTATCTCGTCGCTGGCAGCCTGGTCCGGGATCTCTATCCTGCCCCGCTTGCCCTTCACGGAGTGGACCCGCGCCTTGAACACGCTCTCGGATCCCCTTCGAGGCCGCTTGGACAGAGTCGCGTCGATCGTCCAGAACTCAGTCGGCACGAATGCGTCGATCTCCGCCTCGCGATCAACGACGAGTCTGAGCGCGACGGACTGAACACGGCCTGCGGACAGCCCGCGTCGCACCTTGGACCAGAGTACTGGGCTGAGCTTGTATCCGACGATCTGTCGAGCACGCGACGCGCCTGCTGCGCGTCGATGAGCGAACGGTCGAGCTCACGCGGGTTGTCGAACGCCTCGGCGATAGCGTCCCGCGTTATCTCGTGGAATACGACCCGCTTGGCCCTTGTTCGGCGGAATCTTGGCCGCCTCCATCAGGTGCCACGAGATCGCCTCACCCTCTCTGTCCGGGTCGGTGGCCAGATAGACGGTGTTTGCCTGCTTGGCCTCCTTGGCCAGGTCCGAAATGATTTTGCCCTTGCCGTTCACAACCCTGTACGTGGGCTCGAAGCTTCTGTCGTCTATTTCGATCCCCATGTCCTTCTTCGGAAGGTCTCGGACATGCCCCATCGAAGCCTTTGCGACGTAGTTGCTGCCGAGGAATCTCTGTACGGTTCGGGCCTTGGCTGGCGATTCAACGATAACTAGATCTTTTGCCATATTCCCTACACTGACTGGTACTCTGCCACGGTCTCCCGCAGCCGGACATAGTTCATTCCACCCACCTGACGAACAAGGCCCCTCAATTCCATCATAGTTAGGGCGCCACTCACTGTCGAGGCGGCAAGGGCGGAAGTTCTGGTTATTTCATCTATATGGATCGGGTCGAACGTCACGAACTTCAGCACGGCTGCCTGTGCTTCGTCTTCGGGGAAGAAGGCCGCTAGCTCTAGCTGGTGTTCGACTGCCGACAGGTTCAACTCCTCCATGACGTCGTCTGCGCTCGTGATGAGTTTCGCGCCGGAGTCCCGTATCAACTCGTTGCCGCCCCGCGACGCGGGAGACAGAATGCTCCCGAGGACGGCAAAGACCTCGCGGTTCTGCTCCAGTGCGTGCCTGGCCGTCAGCAGGGCGCCGCTTCCCTCAGGTGCTTCGATCACCAGTGTTCCGAGGCTCATTCCGCTTATAATGCGGTTGCGCCGCGGGAAGTTCTGCGCGTCGGGCCGCGCTCCGAGTGGATGCTCGGATATGATGGCGCCCTTCAAGGCTATCTGCTCGGCCAGCGTGCGTGTTCACGAGGATAGATCACGTCAACGCCGCTGCCAAGCACTGCGATTGTTCGAGCGCCAGACTCCAGCGCCGCTCTGTGTACGATTCCGTCTATTCCCCTCGCCAGACCGCTCGTGATCGTCACGCCGCTCCGAGCGAGGTCCGACGTAAGTTGTCTCGCGGTCTCGCGGCCATAGGCGGTCGGCCTTCGCGTTCCCACCACCGCTACCGCTCGCTCGTCCGCCGGGTCCAACTCACCCTTGACGTACAAGACGGGCGGCTTGTCATATATCTCTTTCAGACGGGGAGGGTAGTTCTCGTCGTGCCACGTCATTAGAGCCGTGACCCCGGCCTGTTGGACCCGTTCTAGCTCGGCGTCAGGGTCAACCTTCTCCCGCGTCGTAGCCACATGCTGCGCCGTGCTCCCGTTGAGCACCGCCTGTTCCAGCTGACTTGCGCGTGGCCTGCCACGCGCTGGCTAGAGAGCCGAAGCTGCCCTCCAACAATGCTAGGCGAGCCCGACCGACACGCGACACACGGCTAAACGCGATCCAGTATTTTAGCTCAGACGTTTCCATGTGCGACGGGTATTCTACACCAATTGGACTATGAAACAACCCCTCGCAGACGGATGGGGCAGGTCGGTGTGTCAAGCGCCGCCTTGGCCCAGAAACGAGAGGCCGACTAACGAGGAGTGTACGCGGACAGCGGTTCCGACTCGTCCCCAAGCCGCGCACAGAATTCCGTGGCGTTTCAGTGTGAAGATGGCGGAGAGGGTGGGATTCGAACCCACGGTCGCCTTATACAGACGACACGCGATTTCCAGTCGCGCCTATTCGGCCACTCTAGCACCTCTCCGCGTTGGGCTGCCTGCACCTGTTCACTTAAGCGTACCTCAGAACGAGATTCGCTTCAGCTCCGTGCTGGCGGAGAGGGTGGGATTCGAACCCACGATGGAATTGCTCCCATACTGGTTTTCGAGACCAGCGCCTTAAACCGCTCGGCCACCTCTCCGAGGCCACGCGAAATTATAGCATAGCAAAAACGCTAGTCTTAAACAGATCGTTGCCGACTACGATGCGGGCAGCACGTACCGCTCGATGGCCTCGACAAGACCGTCCTGCTCGACACTTGCGACGGCGTGATGAGCCAGTTTGAGTAGCTCAGGCGGCGCGCCGCCCATCGCAATCGACAGCCCAGCCGTCTCGAACATGGCAACGTCGTTGAAGCTGTCCCCGACCGCCGCTACCTCCGACGGCTCGATACCCAGTAGACCACACAGCGCGCGCAGCCCTGAACCCTTGTTCACCCCGCGCCGGTTGAAGTTGACCGACCACAGCCCGTTGTACGGCAGGTACGCCTTGACTGCTTCCAGGCCTGGGTTCGCCGACATTCGGCGGACCATTCCATTGGCCTGATGCTCCGTCAGGTCAATGGCCGTCACGCGCGTCAGCCCCCGGTGTCCAACTCTTGGACATCGGTCACAATCCCCTCTGGACTCGTCGCCATGAATTGACAGCCGGACTCAATGATGGGCTGCATGGCCAGCATCGCCAGTTCGCTGGTCATCGGTGCGCTCCACATGGCGTCCCCCGTTGTCGGATCGAGGATCAACGCACCATTGTCCGCGACCTGTGGCGAGGTCAGCCCGAGCTCGTTCGCGTATCTGAGAATGGACTCAGACTCACGACCCGTCACAATGGAGACATGGACTCTTGACGACACGCGCCGGACTGCCTCACCTACCCCGGGCGACACGCGTTCGTCCGACCCGATGAGAGTACCGTCCAGATCAAGCGCCAGAGCCCTGATTTCTTTCATCAATAGCGTCAGCGTCGACAGAATCAGCTAGGCGCGTGTTTTGATGGCGACCAGTTCGTGAATTGAGCCGACCCCGTGCGTTTCGGCCAAACTGTTGGATAAAGCCTTATTGATGTGCGGTGCAACACACGGCCCATTGTAAACGAAGCCAGTCAACATCTGAATTGTCGTCGCACCCGCCTCGATGACTCTCCGAGCGTCCTTGGCTGTGAAGACCCCACCGCAGGCGTTAATGTCTGCCTTGTCCCCTATACGCTCCCGCATCTCGGAAACCATTCGCAGCATCTGTTCATAGATGGGCTTTCCGCTTAGTCCACCTGAACCGACTTCGAGCTGGGGGTTCTCCACGGGCTGAGTATTGGCTATGGTCAGCACATTTACTTGCTCCGCGATGCATACTTCTGCGAGGTTCAATGCACGATAGTGGTTCGCAGCATTCTCGTCTTCCGGGGGAAAGGAGGCATCTTCACAAAGAGAGGCTTAGAGCGTCCCGCATTGATCGTGTTGAGGAGTGTTTCCAACACGTCGGGTTCTTGGAAGATCCTGAGCCCCTCCGTATTCGGCGAGCTTATGTTGATCTCAACCGCGTCCACTAGTGGCTCCAGCCGCCGGTGGCATGTGACGATGTCATCGATCTCAGTACCCGAGACGCTCACGACAATTGGAGTGTCCAAACACCTGCGGCGGGCCCGCTTGATACGCTCGACCGCCGAATCGAGGCCCTTATTTGGGAACCCCATAGAGTTTATGAGCGCTTCCCGTGATCTGTCCCTAATAAGTCGTTTCTTGGGATTACCGGGCCTTGGGTGGAGCGTGACGGTTCCGCAGGTCACATACCCAAAACCAAGGGAGGAGAGTGCCGGAAGAACCTTGCAGTCCTTATCTAGGCCAGCTGCCAGACCGACCGGGTTCTTAATGTTGATTCCCCCCACCGTGGTGCGGATGTTTGACGACTCGAAACTGTTCATTGCGCCTATGACACGCCACAACGGCGATAGCCTAAGTGCTACAGTGGCGAGGTCATAGGCTGATTCAGCCGGCAGCAGGAACAGTGCAGGGCGTATCAGATTTCGGTAGATGCTCAGGTTGTTGCCCATAAGATAATAGGGGTCTCTAATCTAATTGTAGGCTTTTCAAACGGCTGCATCATTCTAGCGCATCTGAACGGTGTATTTCGCGCCAGCGTTAAATTCATTGTGCAGTGCGGCTGAATTTGACGCCAAGCTGGCAGGAGGTCATCTTCAAACAAATTTCAGAAAAGTATTAGAAAACAGAAATTTATCTAAGCGAATTCCGTGAGCTCCCAAGTCGAGGCGAAAGGTCTTAATTGAACATTGGAGGAATGTCTTGGCTAGACGATAATCCTGGCCATGTGGTCGGCCACCTCGACCTTCGCGACGCTGGTCAACAGGGAAGTCCCGCTTATCGACGAAGCTAAGCTCATCCCATTTTCTGAGAACGTCGTCCACGTCAACGGACGTCTCCGATCGCTCAGCCCCCTTCCGCGCCACGTCGAGATTGTTCAACGCACCTGATAGGTGGTCGGTGTCTGCCCCGCCTGACGCGGTCTTGCGCATGGCCTGCAGGAACCGGCGCTCCGCATTCCTGACCCGCTCCTGCCAGATCGCCCTCAGAGGCTCCTCTACGTCCCCATTCCGGTTGCTGGCGTCGAGCCTGTCCAGCTCCTTCGCCTTGATCGCCATTGGTATCTGTGCCAGCACGGCGCCCTCCAGGTCGGCTTCGCGCCACGTATGGTATCCGCACACGCTCTGGTTGTTGCGAGACTGGCACTGGTAGTAGCGATAGGTCTTCCTGTTACGGTTGCCGTCCTGATTCGTCCACCGCTGATGACGGGTCACACCCATCATCTTGTTGCCGCAGTACTCGCAGAACGCGATTCCTGAAAGCAGGTATGGTTTCGCCCTCGAAACTCTGCCCCGGGGTCTGCGACTCTCCACTATGTCTCGGGCTGTCCGGTAAGTAACCGAATCGATGATCGCCTCATGGCTCCTGGGCAGCCTGAGCCCAAAGCGCGTATACGTCCCAATATAGACCGGGTTCTTGAGAATGTCGCGCACGCTAACCACGCTCCACCGGCCTCCCCGGCGCGTCGTGATGTCCCGCTCGTTCAGGTGCTGGACGACGAGTCGCATCCCCATCCTGTCCCTGGTGTACAGCCGCGGTAGATCAGCTCCACGACGGCGGCCTCGTCCTTGACTACCTCATAAGAACCGTCGTCTGTGTACCGGTACCCGAACGGGGGGCGTCCTAGACCCTTTCCCCACATCGCCTGCTCTTGCATAGACTCCCTGATCTTGCCGCTACGTGCCCGAGAGACCCCCGATACTCCCAACACGAAGAACGCATTCTGGAGCGGATCTGGCATGTTCACGTCCTGACAGGTGACCTTGGCCCCGGCGCCCTCGATCTCCAGGAACGCGCGCGCTACGGTTTCGATGTCGCCGCCGATGTGGCTGGAGTCCGGTATGGCGACTAGGAAGTTTGAACCTGACTCCTTGATGTAGGCGATCAGTTCCATGTACTGAGGATAGGTCCCTTCTCCACTGGCGTTGAGGTCCCCAAACGTCTTGACGGGCTGGTGCAGGTTGATCTCGCAGTATGCGACGAATTCATTCTCGAAGTCGGCAAGGCTCTTGGCCTGCTCTTCGACATGAGACACTGCTTCGACTCTGAAGTATCCGAGCGCTCTCACTGCTTACTTTCTGACCTCGCCTCAGCCATGTATGAGTATCCGTGAGCAGCTACCGCACTGGACGACGACGTCGCCAGCGCGCGCGCGGCCCAACTCCGCGTTTGGGATCGTGAGTCTGCATCCTTGGCACATGCCACGCTGGTCAATTAGCGCGGCTCCCTGTCCACCCCGACTGCGCCGAACGGTCTCGTACACCGCCATGATGTTTGACGGATACTCAGTGGACAATTCCTGTCGCTGCGAACGGAGTTCAGGAATATCCGACGTCAGCTCCTCCTGTCGTGCTCCCAGCGTGCCCAGTTCGCTCCTACGCTCCCCGTCTATCCGCTCGAAAACAGCCCGCGCCTGGTCGCGCAGCTCCTCTGTCTCCTCCATCTCGACCATGAACTCCAGTAGCCGGTCTTCCTCGTCCCTCTGATTACGAGCCATCATTGCCCGCTCTTCTTGATACGCCTCCAGCTCCCTTGGATTCGTGACGCTCCCGCTGTACATCCGGCTGTCGATCATTTCGATGCGCCCTTCGATCCGCTCGATCGCGTGCTCGGACTGGCGTCTGCCAGGGCCCAGCTCACCGAGCTTTCGCTCAAGAGCCAACAGGCGTTGGTGCGCCTGGACTCGCTTCGCGTCATCGGCAATCCGGACCTGGACCTCCGACAGCTCCTCCTCGAACTGCTGAATTTCCCAGTCCAGTTCCTGGAGTTCATAGAGTTGTCTGACAGTCCGCATCTACCGCACCTATTCAATGGGTTGATTCATTCTAAGGCAATTCACCGCGTCAATGAACCAGCTACGGCACATCGGAATCGGGTTCTAAGACACCTCCGAAGAGATGCGACTATCCTGGATTTGAAACTCAAGATCGGACGAGACAGGAAGTCGGTGCAGATAGACTATGGTCGAGATCGACCTTTTCTAGTAAAATCCCTAATGAACTCCGCTACCTCTTCCAGGAGTACCGAGCCTCGCACATGACGCAAGTCCCCAGGATTCTCCAACGACCCAGGACCAAGATCGTCGCCACCCTGGGACCCAGGTCAAACTCATACGATACGATTTGCGAACTGGTGCTCGCGGGTCTTTCTGTGGCCAGGCTAAACCTCTCACACAACACACTTGACGAGCACGAGCGCGTCTTTCGAAACGTACGGAAGGCATCAGAGGACCTCGAAATCCCAGTCGGAATCATGGTTGACATTCCTGGCCCCAAGTACAGGACAGGCCCTCAGTCGCCCGGAGAATTCTACCTGGAGCCCGGAGACAGGATCGTACTCACTAGCCGAGACGTTATCGGTAGCCCGGAAATTCTCGGTGTGTATCCGCCGGGTGTGCATAAAGACTCCGCGATCAATGGAAACATTCTCCTTGACGACGGAGCTATCGAGCTGAACGTGCTGGACATTGATAGAGAACTTATGGACGTGTCTTGCGAGGTGGTGACGGGGCAACAGAATGGTTGAGGGAAAGGGCGTGACCATTCCCGGACGAGCCCCGTCGCTGCCGTTCCTTGACGGCAGGGCGAAGGAAGGTCTCCGATTTGCCGCCAAGACTGGAGCCGACTTCGTCGCGCTTTCCAACGTCACTAGGCCGGAAGATATCGACCAGGCGCGGGACCTGATGTCGGATTATGGCAGCGACTCGTTCATCATCTCCAAGATCGAGACCGAAGAGGCGGCGGTCACCAACTTCGACGGCATCCTGGAAGTCAGCGATGGCATTATGGTCGCCAGGGGCGACTTGGGAGTTGCGATGGATGCGGAGTGGGTGCCGATAATGCAGGAGGAGATGATTGAGAAGTGCAATCTCGCCGGAAAGCCCGTGATCACTGCGACTCAGATGTTGGAGTCATGATAAAGTCGGCCAGCCCGACGAGGGCCGAGGTCAACGACGTGTCCAACGCGGTGCGCCAGGGCACCGACGCCGTGATGCTTTCGGGGGAGACTGCCGTCGGCGATAACCCCGTCCTCGCTGTCGAGACCATGAACAAAGTCGCCTGGCGAGGGAAGCGGCGCTCGACTACGAGCGGATGCTCGAAGAGCGGTCCCGGGACATTCAACCGCGGATTGACGACGGGATCAGCTACGGCGCGGCCCGACAACGCTGTCAGATTGGGCGCCTGTGGGATTATCGCCTTCACGGAATCGGGAAGCACCGCTCGTCGCGTCTCGAGGTACAGACCGGGAACACCGATTCTCGCCCTCACGCCCCACGAGAAAGTGCTTCGCATGTTGACCGTCAGTTGGGGAGTGAGTCCGTCAAGGGTCCCGACCTCACCACGGTCTCACATCTCCTCAACGTGTCCGAAGGCCACGCGGTCTCGTCCGATCTGGTACCGGACGACGGCGGCAAGGTCGTCATCACTGCTGGATTCCCGTTTGGAACGGTTGGAAGTACCAACCTCCTCTACATCATGGACATTCCGCCGAAGGCGGCACGACAGGAGGGCAGCCAACCGTGCTGAAGATATACAACACCCTCGAAAAGAGCCTGGACGAAGTTCAGCCGATAGACGACGGCGTCGTGAAAATGTACACGTGTGGCCCCACGGTGTACCGCGATGCCCACATCGGAAACCTCCGCTCATACCTGATGGCGGACTGGATCAGGCGTATTCTCACCGCCCAGGGACTCGACGTCGTCCATATTAAGAACATCACCGACGTGGGTCACATGCGCCAGGAAGTGCTGGAGCGTGGAGAAGACAAGATCATCGCCGCGGCAATCGAAGAGGGTAAGACGCCGGCTGAAATCGCCGACTTCTACACTCTGAGATTCAGGGCGGACGAGGAAAAGCTCAGCATCAGCCCGCTCATGAGTTCCCACAGGCGGAAGCTTAACCTCTGACCACATCGAGGAGATGCTCGAGATTGTCCAGAGGCTCGTTGAGACAGGCTACGCCTACGAAGTCGACGGAAACGTCTATTTCGAGGTGTCAAGTTTCCGCCTGGGGATTGGACGGTCAGGGAGTTGAGGAAAAATTAAACGGAAGAGGAGCGGGTGGCCCTTGAGGGAGGGTAGAGCGCAGAACACTTTAAAGTGGGCCAGAGAGACTTGCACACGTGGGAAAGCCGATGAGGCTGGTTTGGGAGAACGGTCAAGTGGCACAAGCCATGGGGGGAGAGGGGCTCCGGGTGGCACTTCGAATGCTCAGCAGTCAATCAAGTATCGTCGGCGAGAAGTTTCGAAATTACATAAAGGGGGGAGTTGACAATATATCCTAAAAACGAGGCGAGAATAGACAGAGTGAAGGCTTCACATGGAAAGGTTGTAAAAATTATGGTTACAAAGGCTTAGCACTTTAGAGGATTGGCGTGGTCAAGATGGAGAAGTCCGAATGAAACTCGTTCATATGTCGGAATAGAGGGCACAAGGTATGGTCAGATGGGAATTCAGGTATCTGTGCATGACGGCCAGGTACAACACGCGCTTGGAACTTACGTTGGCAACAGAGACGGAAGGGCACACAGTAAAAGTAGAGGACCGCAGAATACGCGGAACAGCAAAAGGACACAGAAGGAGCCGGATAACTGAGGCATGAGATTTCGCAGCAGGAGGAGAAGCGGGGTGGTAAAAGGACCGGAGCGGGGCAGGTGACACACAAAAAATAAGGAGGGCACGCAAGATCCCACGTAGGAAGAGTGGAGGAGTGTGGACCATAGGTTCTTTGACACCGTCAACTCGAACCTCGACATGCCCGGCGCACTTGCGCTGACTTGGGAAATGGCCCGCTGCGACCTCGACTCAGTCACCAAACTGACGGTGATAGAACGCACGATGAGGTGCTTGGCCTCGGACTGCTCAGTGTTGGCGACGAGTACGAGACCCCTCCGGAGGCGCTGGAACAGCTGCTCCGAAGGGCGCATCTGCGTGATATGGCCGAATACACCGCCGCCGATCAGTCCGCGCGGCTCTTGAAGAGGTGGGTTACGTCGTCGAGGACCACGAGCGCGGCTCCCGTATCAGGCCGAAGGCCGAGTGGGAGAAGCTGACTGAGGACCGCGATGTGGTCTCTGCCGCGGCCGAGGTCCCCTCATTGGTCGAACAAAAGGACGCGCACGATGTCTCTATTGGCATCGTCGCCTGTAACTACGTCGATGACGTGAAACGCGTCGTCAGCAGCGCCCTGCATGCAGCGAAGACCGAGACGTTGAGGTCGTGGTGCTGGACAACGGCTCCACTGACGAAACAGGCGAGTATCTGGACGAACTGGCGTCTTCTGACTCCAGAGTCCGGGTGATTCACGCCGACCACGTTCTCGGAGAAGCCGCCGCCAAGAATATCGTGCTCAAGCAGAGCCTCGGTCGCATTGTCATACTGCTGGACACGAGCGTCGAGGTGACAGGTGACATTGTCGGACCCATCGAGACGTTGCTCCAGGATGGCGGGGTGGGCGTAGTGGGCCCGTTCGGACTTCGAACAGACAATCTTCACCACTTCCACGATGGAGAAGGCGAGTCTGGAGATATGGATGCCATGCAGGCATACTGCTTCGCTTTCCGGCGTGAGGATATCACTCAGGTCGGCCTGATGCGTGAAAGCTTCAGGTTCTATCGCAACCTGGACATTGACTACAGCTTCCACTTCAAGGAACAGGGCAAGCGCATTGTCGCCGACCAGTCTCTGCCCGTAGTCCAGCACGAGCATCGTGTCTGGAACGAGCTCGCCGAGGCCGAGCGCGACGAGTTGAGCCTGAAGAACTACAGGCGTTTCCTCGAGAAATGGGGAGAGCGCACTGACCTGCTTGTCAGCAACCGCACCTGATCGCTAGAATCCTTCGGGGATTCTTGATTGGCTTTCCGATATGCGAACAACCCCCGGGGGCGGCTCTCCTGCGTCAGGCCGGTAGATCTCTCGTGATGGAATCGAGCCTCCCTGTAAGAGGTCGTTTCTACCCACGCCCCCGGAGTTGAAGTGGATCTAACCCTTCTCTGGCTACAACTGGCCGCTGCCGCCGCACTTATCTTGGTGACAGCGCACTTCATGGCAAGATCGGCGGATGTCGTAGCTGAGAAGACTGGCTTGGGCAGGTCCTTCGTCGGTGTCGTCATGCTCGCGACGGCTACGTCGCTCCCGGAACTGAGCACCGGCATCAGCTCGATCATTCTGGTTGGAGAGGTGGATCTTGCCGCTGGCGACGCCTTCGGCAGCAACCTGTTCAACCTGCTGATTATCGGACTGATGGACATATACTGGCGCAGAGGTCCTGTTCTGGCGTATGTGACTGCTACGTCCGGGTTGGTTGGCGTTCTCGGCGTTCTCGTCATCTCCGCCGCTGTAATCGGCATAATCGTCCATGGTCTGACAACGAGTATGTCAACTTGGTACGTAAGCCCGGTGTCCTTTCTCATGTTCGGGGTCTTCGTCGTTGCCATGTACCTCGTTTACCGGGCCGAGCATAGCGATACATTGCCCGCGTCTGTTGGCCACGTGCCGAGCCAGACCTCCAACTACGAAGGGGAGAGTCTTTCCCGGTCTGTCGTAATCTACCTGATTACTGCTCTCATCGTGGTCGGCGCTGCAGTCTGGCTGGCCCACACAGGAGACCGTGTGGCAGATGCGATGGGCTGGGAAGCCAGTTTTGTCGGTACGCAGTTCCTTGCTCTCAGCACGTCGCTCCCAGAGATGGCAGCGTCGTTCGCCGCGCTCAGGCTGGGGGCGCCAGAGCTCGCGATCACCAACGTCCTGGGGAGCAACCTGTTCAACATGGGATTTGTCCTCTTCTTTGATGACGTGGCGTTCACTGAGGGCGTCCTGTGGAGCGGGATTGCCGACATCCACATTCTGACCGCAGTCGTGGCGATAATAATGACTGCCATAGTCGTCGTTGGAATCCAGACCAGCAACTGGCGTCGTCCCGCCCCGTCGATTATTACCGTTCCGGGGGCGGCAATGATTGTCTTGTATATCGTTGCAAGCGTGCTCATCTACTACTTGGCCTGATTTGACATACAGCCAGGCTGCTCATACAGTTGAGTCCGCCAATCCACTATCAACAGGAGACCACTAATGTTCTTTGAACTTCGTGAATACAGAACGCTTCCCGGCCAGCGCGAAAACTGGGTCAGGTTCATGGAAGAGGAGATCATTCCCTTTCAGGTCTCCAAGGGTATGGTGATTCTCGGCAGCTTCGTGGGGGAGGAAGAAGACGACCTGTACATCTGGGTGCGTCGCTTCAGCAGCGAGGAGGACCGGGAAGCGCTCTATGAGGCTGTTTACCAGAGCGACCGCTGGGTCAACGAGATCGGCCCGAAGGTCCCAGAGATGCTCGACCGCGACAAGATAGTCGTTCGCCGAATTGAGGCCACCCCCCACTCCGTCATACAGTAGAGTGCATCCGAGTCCATTGGACTCGGTATGGGCACGCTTCAATGCGGGCGACAGGTGATCTCCAGCCCGGCCTTATCCTGACCAACGCGCGGGTGCTGACCATGGATCCGCGCCACCCTATCGCGCAGTCCGTAGCGGTTTGCGGCGATCGGATCGTATGGGCAGGCGCCGATGCCGAGTTGCCTTCTCTAACTTCTGCAGGTACGAAGGTCATCGACTGTGGCGGTGGAACGCTGATTCCAGGATTCCACGATGCCCACTTGCACCTCCTCGCCTTTGCTTCCTCTCTGGACTCGGTTGACTGCCGGCCCAGCCGGGTGTCGTCCATAGCGGATATCTGCCAGCAGATCGCCATTCGCACCGAGCGCACGCCCCGGGACGAATGGGTTTCAGCCTGGGGTTACGATCCTTTCTATCTGGCCGAGCGCCGCCATCCAACACGCTGGGATCTCGATCGCGTCGCTCCGCACCATCCGGTTCGACTCAACCACAGGTCAGGGCACGCCTGCGTGCTCAACTCCTTGGCCATGGATCGCGTGGGAATCGCCGACAACACTGACGAGCCATGTGGCGCGACCATTGCGCGTGACCTTGAAGGCGGAACGCCAAACGGTCTTCTTCTTGAGATGGAAGACTTTCTGGACGTACGAATACCCAGGCCGTCGGCGTCTGAACTCTCGGCCCAGTTCGGACGAGCCGCGCGCACCCTGCTCTCGCTTGGCGTCACCCTCCCTACAGGACGCCACTCACAACAACTCGATCGACCGCTGGGGTCTCTTCCGGCACCTGAAAGGCCAATCAGAGCCCCTACCCAGGATGTCGCTTATGCCCGGAGCCGGCCACGTGTCCGACTTCGTGGGTGCCGGGCTGGGCTTCGGCAGCGGAGACGACCGGCTTCGTGTTGGTCACGCCAAACTGATGGTCGCGGCCTCGTCCGAGACTACCATGCCCACGCGCAGTGATCTATGGGAGGCCATTGACCGCTGCGTGTCTCTTGGCTTCCCTGTGGCAATCCACGCGGTGGAAGCTGATACAGTTCGGACTGTGGCCGAGGCCCTGGCAGCGTCTCCATCGCTGCCCAACCGGCTTCCCACACACAGGATTGAGCACTGCTCCGAGTCCCCTCCCGGTGTTCTGAATTCGGTCGTGGAGTGCGGGGCCGCAGTTGTCACTCAGCCTGGGTTCATCCATTACGAGGGGGACCGCTACCTGGCCGAAGTCTCATCCGAGATGCAACCCTTCCTGTATAGGGCCGCCTCACTCGCCGCCTGCGGCGTTGACGTTGCCTTCTCCTCAGATGCCCCAGTATCGGAACCAGATCCTATGAAGGCCCTCTACGCCGCTGTCACCCGACGCACGTGGTCAGGTAATTTGCTCAGCGGGCACGAAGCGATGGATATCGGAGCGGCTCTGAGTGCCTACACCATTGAGCCTGCCCGCGCGACCGGGGGTCCACGACAGACTCGGACGCATCACTCCCGGCAGTCTGGCTGACTTGGTGCTGTTCGACGAGGATCTGCTAAGTGTGGAGCCGGATACGCTGCTGAGTACCCGGCCTGTCATGACTATACTCGGCGGTCGGGAAGTGGTCAGCGATTAGAAGTCACCTCACAAAGACGAATCTCAACTCCATCTCGCAGGCCGAGTCAATACGTACCCATCGGTCCTTACAACGGTTTCCGGCAGTTGGCTATCTCTCAGTTTCTTGCGACCGATGGTAAAAGACGCCGATGCCGCTTTGTTGAGATCGACCGAGTGCCTCCCGGGCGGAAATGCCACTATCACATGTTTATCAGGATACCGTGTTCGAACCGACCGCACCGGACCTGTCAGATCACTGTCGCCAGAAACGATGATGGCCGTATCGAACCTGTTGTCATACGCGTCGGAAAGCAACTCGACTGCGATGTTGACGTCAGTCATCTTCTCCTCTGGCACCTGCCAAGTTTTACCGCAGTTCCAGCAGTACTGCTTCTTCATTAGGAAATGGCCAAGGTGAATTGTCAAATCGGGCAAGGTCGCCAGCGCTTCCAGATAACTATTTTGGCGTACTGGCTTGAGTTGGTCGCGAGGTGTAGAAGAAACCCGGGCAGTGAAGTATCGGACTGCTCCTAGTTCCTGGTTGGAGAGCAGGAGATTTAGGGCTAACCGCCGCAGATCGAGCCAGTAGAATCGCCGCCAGCCCTTAGATTTAAGCCCGTAGTAAAGATTGAGACCATCAATGTAATAGATTGTCCGCTGCATCAGCCTCTGCTTGTGATGACGTCGTCGTTTACTATCTCCGGCTCGAAAGCGCCAATGGGTAGCCCTTGACAGTATGCCTGACAACAGGCACTATTATTATAACCCCCCAGTGATCGTATCGCTGGGCCGACGTCCCCCTGCCAGCCTCTCGAACTATCCAGCCTTAACAGGCCAAGCTCAGAAGGCAGAATAAGGGGGGCGTTTCTTTTGTCGACGAAACCCGTGCGAGCCTGTCTCAGTCTGATTTCTCAGCCTATTCAAATGATTCCTTCCCCATGGGAAAAGGGCTAGAGTAACAGTGAACTGACATGGCGCTATTCGACGAGGACCTTCAGACCGTAGAGCCGACTTCGCTTCTGGGAATCGCACCTGCCATGACCATACTGGCAGGCCGGGTCGTCTGGGAATCCTGACTTGACTTGAGGCGGAGGGCCGACTGACCGCTCAACTCCTGCGCGTAAGCATGTAGTCCAGTAGCTGCTCCAGCGACTCGCGCGAAGGAGTATGGGGTAGGGTGAGGAGCGCGTCCCTTGCAACACTGCACCGCCGCGCCGCCTCATTGTAGGCGGCGTTGATGATCTTGGGCTGTCGGATCATCTCCACGGCCTCGGCCAGCAGAGCGTCATCTCCGGTATCGTCATTGAGGTACACATCGATCGGATTGCCCGCTGGGACTGGCCTCTCTGGCAATGAAAGCGGGTAAAGTCATGATTCCGTTGGCCAGATCGCTGCCCACCGGCTTGCCGATCTCATCCTCGTCGCCCTGGAAATCGAGGATGTCATCTACGATCTGGAACGCCATACCAAGCTCGCGTGAGTACTCCCTGAGCGCGTTGACCTGGTCGTCAGGGGCTCCGCTGAGGATAGCTCCCGTCTCGCCAGACGTGCTGAAAAGCGACGCTGTCTTGTTGTAAATGCGCTGGTGGTAGCCATCGAGTGTCTGACCAGGGTCGTGTGCGCTGACCCTCTCATGTAGCTCGCCGCTGGATAGCTCCATGATCGTCTCGGAGAACCGCCGGATGACCCCCACGTGCCCCGTGTCGCACACAAAAGTGGCCGACGACGCGAACACGTAGTCGCCCACCAATACCGCGATGTCCTTACCGTACAGGCTGGAAATCGTCGCTCGACCACGTCGGGTGTCGGAGTCGTCTACCGTATCGTCATGGATCAGCGTGGCGATGTGCAGCAGTTCAACCGCCGTCGCCATGACCTCGGACTTGTACTCGTCGTGGGAGTGGAAGCTGGCGGCCAGCAACGTGATCGCCGGCCTCGCCCGCTTGCCGGTTGAACCGTAGACGTGCGTCAGCATCTCGGACAGGAAGGAAAACTTGACACCGCCAATTCCTTCAGGCGTTGCTCCACCTTCTCTAACCGATCCTGGATGGGGGCATAGATAGCGGAAACCTGGTCTCTGTCCGCCGTTGCTCGTGGACTACGCGCCAAGCCTCGACCTCTCCTCTTCGATGATTGAATCGTCGAGTTTGGTGTGAAGAGTGGCTTAGGCCTCGGTAGCGCCCTGCCCGGTGCAAGTGCCTCTCGATTCCATGACCAGCCCTCGGCCTCTGCGCTTCCGTCCAGGCCTAGCATCTCGTGCAGCTTCTCCGATGTTTCCGGCATGAACGGGAAGAGCGCCGTCTTGAGACAGTTGATTACGGTCATCGCCGTCCACAGCGTTCTGGCCGCGTCGTCTTTATCGGTTCTAACGGCCCGCCATGGCGCCTTGGAGTCAAGGTAGCGATTGGCCGATCGCGCAATGCCCATCGCCGACTGGAGGGCGTTCCTGAACCTGCATCTTTCGAGCTCACTGGACACGGCCTCGAAACCGCGTCCGGCCTCTTCGAGCAGCTCTTTCGACTCTTCGTCCAGGTCGACAGGATCGGGAGTCGTGCGGTCAAAGTTTCGCTCTGCCATCGTAAGCACACGATGGACAAGGTTGCCGAATGTAGCAACTAGCTCGTCGTTGTTGCGACGAACGAACTCCGCCCAGTTGAAGTCCGAGTCGCTCGTCTCCGGCATGATCGAGGCGAGCATGTACCTGATGGAATCGACATCGTATCGGTCCAGGTAGTCCGGCATCCAGACAGCCCAATCGCGACTGGTGGAAACCTGCTCCCTCTCTAGGTTCACGTACTCGTTTGCGGGAACGTCGTACGGAAGGTTCAGGTCTCCGTACGCCATAAGCATCGAAGGCCAGATCACTGTGTGGAACGGTATGTTGTCCTTGCCCATGAAGTAGTAGGCGCGGCAGTCCTTCTGCCAGAAATCCTGCCACTTGTCGGGGTCGCCGGAGCGCTGTGCCCACTCTTTGGTGGCCGACAGGTACCCGATCACCGCCTCGAACCAGACGTAGATGCGCTTGTCTTCATAGCCCTCGACCGGGACGGGTATTCCCCAGTCCAGATCGCGCGTAATCGCACGGTCTTTGAGTCCACCTTTGACGAAGCCAATCGTGAAGTTCTTGACGTTCGGTTTAAAGTGGTCCTTTTGACTCACCCACTCAAGCAGTCTATCTTCAAACGCGCTCAACCTGATGAAGAAGTGCTCCGTCTCTCGGATCTCAGGTTCGCCCCCGCACATTTTGCACGTTAGCCCGATCAGCTCCTCAGGGTCGAGAGTCGTACCGCAACGGTCGCACTGGTCCCCACGCGCACCCTCGTTGTCGCAATGCGGACACCTGCCCTCGACGTAGCGATCCGGAAGAAATCGCTCGTCAGTCAGGCAGAAGGGTTGACGCATCGTGTCCTTGTACAGAGTACCCCCGATCCAGCATCTTCAGGAACATATCCTGAGTGACCTGGGTGTGGTTCTCGGTATGCGTAGACGTGAACAGGTCGAAGCTGATTCCGAGTCTGTCCCACGTCTCCAGGAACTCCTGCTGGAATTTCCCTATTATCGACTCAGGCCCGACGCCCTGCTGGTCGGCGGCGATAGTCACCGGAGTGCCGTGCGCGTCGCTGCCAGAGACCATAGCGACCTCGTGGCCCTGCATCCGACTGAACCTCGCGAATATGTCTGCGGGAAGGTAGACACCCGCCGCATGTCCGACGTGAATCGACCCATTGGCATACGGCCACGCGACGCAGACCAGTACTCGCTCTGGCAAACTTATACCCCGAAAATTCGTCAGTGGAACTCAAAGCCAATGGTAGCATACCGCTCGGACACCCGGCGAACCATGAAAGCGGTCTTACATCGTAATGATTGGCAGTCATACGCCTTCCGTCATTCCGGCGAAGGCCGGAATCCAGAGTGGTGGGGTGCCATGTAGTTGGATCATCTTTTCGTTGAGTAGGTCTGATCCGGCTATCCATCAAACTCCAGCCACCGCGAATAAAGCTCCCTCCTGGACATGCCCGTCACGGCGCCGATCTCGGAGATCGCGTCCCTCGCAGTCAATCCGCGCGCTTTCGCATCTGCCAGCAATTGGACAGCGTCTATTTCACTCTCGTGCATAGGCGCGGCTAAGGCTCCCTCGATCACCAATGTAACTCACCGCGCGGCTTCACGAAGTGTGAGATGGCTCCGGAGACTGTCCCCCGATAAACCTCTTCATGGAGCTTCGTCAGCTCCCGGCAAACCGCGATCTTCCGATCTCCCAGAGCCCCCATCATGTCCGCAAGCGCAGATGCCAACCTGTGTGTGTCTCGAAAGCCACGATCGCCCTCGTTTCCCGGGCCAGGCTCGACAGCAGGCCAACGCGCTTCGTCCTCTCACGAGGTAGGAAGCCGACGTAAACGAACCCATCGACCTCTATCCCAGACGCCGCCAGCGCGGTCGTCACGGCCGATGCGCCTGGCAGTGGCACCACGTCGAACCCACTCTCCACTGCCGCCGCAACGAGGTCTTGCCCTGGGTCGTTGATAGTCGGCATACCCGCATCGGACACAAGCGCAACGTCCGAGTCAACTAGTAGCTCTAGCAGCTCTCCAAGCTTTGAACGCCTGTTGTGCTCATGAAACGAGGTGACGCGGGTTGTGATCTCGTACCTCGCCAGCAACTTGCGTGAAACACGGGTGTCCTCAGCGGCGATCAGGTCCACCTCTCGAAGCACCCGCAGCGCGCGAAGTGTTATGTCCTCGAGATTCCCTATCGGTGTGGGGACAATGTAGAGCGTTGGCAAGTGGACGCTACCGTCTGGCTTCAAACGTATTCGTGCGACCTCAGCATACACGATTCCCGGGCCTCTCCCTCAGTTGCCGCACCAATATTCTTGGCGTACAATCCCCCCCACGCATGGACGCAGGAGATTGCACATGGTTGAAGTCGTCGACATCGAGACCCAATTCGACAATCAGTTCACCCGCCAGTTCGGGTTTCCCAAAGAGCGCCCGGCCACGAAGGTCCTGGGGCTGATGCAGGAGAAGGTCCGACTTCATCCATCGCCAATCTGTAATGC